ATCTCACAATGCATGGTACAGTCCCCCACAATGTAGTTATCAGACTCAAAACATCGATAGTGCTGAGGCTGAGAAATTCTGGCAATTTTTCTCAGAAGCCCTGTTCTCTTTAGTACATGAATTTATAGAATTTTAGGTTTTTCAGTAAATTCATTTATCACATTATAGCAAAAAATTTACCTATAGAAGGCAAATGCTATTTTAAAAAGAATGATAATATTAATATCAAACAAAATAAAGTTAATGGCAAGAAGAATCTTTTATTGTGCAAAAAAGGTACAATAAACAAGGAAGATAAAATTATAAACAATTTATATACTTTGAACCCGTAGATACTTTCCCTTTCAAAGAAGGGAAAGGCTGATGGAAATGCAAGAAGAATTCAGCAAATCTTCATTATTATATTTAGAAATTATAAGTTAATCTTATATATAAGCATGTAAATTTATGCTAACAAATTTGAAAATCTAGATGAAATGGATACATTCTTAGGAAAATATAAATGTTTTCATTGACTCAGTGTGGGAAACAACCCAAATATTCATCAATGGCTAAATAAACAGAATATGGTATATCCAAATAATGGAATTTATTTGGTAATACAGAGGGATGAAGTAGCACTGACACGTGCTATAACATGGATGAATCTCAAAAACATTATGCTGAGTGAAAGAAGCCAGTCACAGAAGATCATATATTGTACGATCCCATTTATACGAAATGTCCAGTTTATAGGAAATCCCATCTATAGGAAATCCGCAGACAAGTAGATGAGTGTTTGCCTGGCATGAAAGGAGGGGTAGGAAGCAAACCGAGTGCCTGCTAGTAGGTTTCCTTTGGGATAATAAAATGTTCTAAAATTAGATTATGGTGACAGCTGCACAACTCTGTAAATATGCTAAAAACCATTGAATTATACACTGTAAATGGGTGAACTTTATGGTATGCAAATTATATTTTTTATAATTTTATATACTAAAGCTGTATTTTTTAAAAAAGAATTAGGAAATCTATATAAGAAATTGAAAAAGACAGTTCAAAATCTACCCTTAAGGCCGAGCCCGTGGCGCACTCGGGAGAGTGCTGTGCTGGCTCCTGCTGCAGGTTCGGATCCTACATAGAGATGACCGGTGCGCTCACAGCGCTCACTGGCTGAGCGTGGTGCGGCCGGTCTCAAA